GGAAAAAAAAAAAGAAACAGTGAAAACCAGAAAATGTTCCTTATCCAGATCTTAACACGTGTTTCTTTCATATGTCCTTACCCATTTGAAGTGTGAGCTTTTGCACTTTGAAACATCTGGGTTTTAACCTTTGATTAAAATGTGGGTACTGAAGTTAGAATAAGTAGACAAATAAATAAATGATATTATGAATTGGTGTGGTGATCTTTATGCCAGCTCTTCAAACTTACTTCAGGCTACTTTTCTGCTCACTACCTGTAATATATTTAAATGCAGTATTGTACTGTTGTCTGATCACTTCAGACAATAATCCTTCTTCAACTGGTAGGAAATTTGGCACAGGATTTGGAGTAATGTGGTTTGTCATTGTTTTGTCAAACCTCAGAAGTGCTAAAATATTTCTGTATTCTGTAGAAATTTGGGTTTTCTTTATGAATTAATGTTTCTAGCCCTTCACAAAAGCCAGGAGTGTGTTTTGAGTTTGCACTCTCAAAGAGGAACCATAGCACTCTAATCTCCATGTCATAAAGGTAAAACAAAGGTGTGAATCTGAACTATCACAATACATTTGAATATGAGCATTTACTCTCTTACTTATGAATTTAAAGGCCAGATTCACTTTAAAAATAAAAGTATTGTGTCATGGACCATTGCCTTTGACAGGTACTTGGATGCTGTCTCTCCAGGATGCTTGCAGTTTTTTGCATCATTCACCAGTGGGAAAAAACCACCCACAAATAACTTTGTTTAGTTCTACTTTAGAGCAAAATCTTCTGGCAGAAGGAGAAGACAAAATTTCCATGCAGATATTGTCAGCTTCTCTGTCTTCCTCACTCAACTGGTTAAAAAATAGCTGTCTTTCACTCTTGTATGTTGATTTAGAACATTCATGGGATTTAAATGAGCCTACACAGGAAGGGCACAAAAGGGGCTTCTCTAGTTTTTTGTAATTTACCTGAAAAATAATATATTCACCAATTGTGACATCGTTTTCACAAAACTTGTATTTTCCTTTGTGGTTGTATTTGTGTGACTGTAATCCCAATTCACCAAACCTAAAATAAAACCATAAGATAGGACATTTCCTTCCTTCATGTAAATAGAAACGTGTAGCTCTAAAGCCAAATGATAAGCAAATTGCAGCTGAACATCACACGTCATCCTGCTTTCCCTCATGTGCATCGATGTGATACCAAAATTACATCTGTTAGGATATTTCTGTAATGAAAATCCATGAAGAAAAAGCTCTGTAGTACAGCTGCCCAGACTTTCAAAAATATCATAAGGTTCTTAATTTTATTTTTTTTTTAGTGGAACCATATTAGAATATACTCAAGAAAAATTTCAGTGTAATGAGAAGTGGATGCTCTGTATTTTTTTCTCTGCCATTTTTCACTTGCTTTTATACTAACTGCTCAGTGAAGTGATTTCATTTTGCTCAGTCTTGCTTTTCTTACACCATCCTGTCTGTTTCTTCATTTTGAACTTTTCCATAAAAAAAAAAAATGCACTCACATTCAGTTTTCTATTTGAGCTGAATATTGCTTATTCTGCCTGTTTTGGGGATTTCTTTGAGTCCAAAGGCTTGGAGTATAATTTAGGATCGGTAGTTGATTTTGTTGCTGTTGAAACATTAACAGACAAAGTATTAGTAGATGTTAAAACCTCAGTATAAGGTTAGTTAAAATATTAATTTGTAGTTCTGATCTATTAATGATCCCTTCTGCTGTCCACTGAGCAAATTTTCAAACCACCTTTCTTGCACTCGCTCTTGTGACATCTTAGGTAGCAAACAAACTCCCCACAGCAGTGTCAGAGGCCATGCTTGATATCCTTCCTCAGCTCTCTCTTTAATACTTGCTTTTCTCACAGCAGTTCTTAAAGGTAAGGGAGGAAAAGGGATTAATGGTGTCTGTGGTAAGATCATGGCCTGCCCTGTCCTTGCCATACGGCTCAGTTTCCTCTTTTTTTAATTTTTTTTTTGCTTGCATAGCAGACGCTTTGAGAGCAGGTCCAGTCTTTGTTCAACGATGGCACAGTGGTGTCTGTCCTTCCCTGGAGGCTGCTGCAGCCTTTGGGACAATGGTATTAATGCCTGTTTGGGAAGTCTTGCACTGCTGGAGTGGCAGCTTCGAGTAAACCATGGTTAAAGTCCCAGATGGGCTTTCTGCACTGTGACTATCCCTTTATCAAGCTTCTGTGCATGTTGGTAAGGAGCTCTCACTGATGTGTTGGTTTGTTTGCTGTGGGTTTTTGGGGAGCTTCTTTTTTTGTTTATTTTAATATCCATTGCTTAGTGATCAGTATAGTAAAGTGGTTTTTTTTGTATTTCTTTATCAGATTCAAGCCATTTTCCATTAACAAGCAGTCTTAAAATAGGAACCTTTCTTTTTCAGGGGAAAGCCATCATGATTGGACTATTTCTGCCTATTTGAAAAAGGTGTAGGGCAAAGCAAAGGATGAGATGCTCACAGCAGGCGTGTATAATGCCCAGGTCAGAATGCCTGATAAAGTCTGGCTTCCTACATTACTGTGTTATATTTTAGCTTGGTTGTTTGTAAGATATTCAGCCATGAAAGAACAACATTTTGATGGAAGCCTTGAAGCTGTTCCTAGCCAGGAAACTAACAGTTCCTGAAATTATCTCTTGGATTTTTTTACTTAGGTTTACTTAGGTTTGCCCTCATATCCTGCTTCCTTTGACATGTTGATTATTTAAATCTAAGGGGACCTTCTAAAGAGTGTAAGATGTGATAACAGCATTGTTCCCAGTGTGAAATCTTTTAGGAGCAGACCTTGGTTTTGAGTTTGCCACTTTCATGGGGTTGCACTGCTAGACTGCCAGGTCCAGTGAGGGACAAAAAGCTTGCCCTGGGATCCTGGAATGCATGTGGCCCCAGCATAGCCTTAGTGCTAAGTGCTGCTTTGGTTTCCCTCTGTAAGAAAAGGGTAATTCTCTGACAGGGGAGAGTTTGAAATAGTTGTCTTTGCATAGCAATAGTGTGATACAGATGTGATTTTACCTCTGTCTTCCTTTTTAAGCAAAATCAGGCTGCTAGTCATTGCACTCCACTACACCCGTGTGCCCTTCTGCACACTTTTTCTAGAAGCTTTTCAAATGACGTCAGGATTCTGAATCTCATACTGCAAGATGGTGCTGTCAACCTTTGTAAAATCTTTTGGTTCATAACTTTTTGAGGAGAAGGTTTCAGTGAAAACAAACCACCTGGAGAATTCTAGCGTGAAAAATTAATTTTTCTAGGTTCACAACTGCAAAGAAAATATCTTTGAAAATAAAAGAGCTGTTGAATAGGGCCTATGTTTTTTTACCCTAAGATAACTCATAAATAGGTGAAAATATTTTGCTTTAAAAAAAGTTTGTTAGGTACATCTTATCCAAGGACAAAAAATGTGGCTAGAAACCAAATGTGGATGGAAAAATTTTATCCAGAAAGGAACTTTTCAGAAATAAAAACTTGATTGAGAATTTACAGGAGTCAGTGGAAAATCTTTTCCCAAAGTTGCTTTTGCTTGAGTCTGTAATGCCTTGTCCTGTCAAACTCCAGAGTAAATGCTTGACTTGACATTCCAAACTCCTCCAGTGCTGATATGCTGAAGGTATGTGTATGTTTAATGGCTCAAGTCCTACATAATGGAAAACAAGATAAAACTGAGCTCTCAGGGCAATTTCAATGGTGGTTTTTGGTACAGCTAAAAGGGAAAATGTCCTTGTTGCAGAGCATACAGAAGAATGTTTCTATGGTCCGAATCAGGTCACATATCACTGGGTTGTTTGGGGAGAAAAGTGTAGTTCTTTTGTGTAGGGTTAGTACTGTGTCTTGGTGAGTTTTACGTGTTGGCTGCTCTCTGCCAAATTCGTTGCCTTTTATTAGGTGCAGTTTTTAGTGGTCAGTGTGGGAAATCTTCAGACTCTTTGCCTTCCCTTTTCTGTGTTCCTAAAATCTGAACACATTTTTTGGATTAGTTACATTTTGTAACTATTTCTTTTTTCTTTATGTTTTAGCAGACTGCTGGAAAAAATATCCTGAAGCATGCTTTTGGCAGTCATCACACTGTGATCATGAAAGTTAAGACCAGGTTGAAAGAAAAAGTGACTTATATGTATAAAAAAGAAGTAGAAAATGTGTCAAATACTGGAAAGCTAGTATTTTATGAAACAATCCAAACAACTTTGTCTTTTAACACAAAAATATAATAATTTCATTGAAAGGATTTTCTTTCAGATTGTTTAATTAAATAAGAATGAACTACTGAATCATAAGGTGTAACAGGGTTAATAAAAACAGGGAATACTGGGTCATTTCCCAGAAGGATTTTTCTCTGTCTTGTAATCATGTGGTTTTGATTTTGTTTGTGAACTGTGCCAGATCTGTCTTTTCATATGATTTTGAGTATCTGCAAATGCAATTTCTTTGGTTAAAATTAGAAGTGTGCTTTAGATCAAAGACGATGTTAGGGAAAAGAAACACGAAAATAATTTTCATGACCTGGGGATGACCTCCTCGTTGCTTGAGTCTCTCAGTGAGGGATGTTCCTGCCCTTTTATGAGATGTATGTATCCACATACAAGCACAAAGGTAGAAAAGTGCTTGTATGCAGTTAGAAAAGGTTTTGCAGCCATACTACTCAGTACTGTTCCTCTGTTTGTCGTATTATTGTTCTAGAATCAAGAGCTTGATTGATGTGTTTTGGGTCAGTCACCACACCATCTTCCTATTTGATTTGCATTATTATTTCCTAGGTTCCCTTTTTTCTTCATTTAGAGGGGTCTTCCTTCTCATAGTGTCCCAAATGCCTCAAGTGACAATATTGCTGTAGGGCTTCTCAGGAGATGCCTTTTGGCTGTTTTATGCTCTCTTCTGTGGGCTGGCTAGTTAGCTACTTCATGGGCTCTCAAGACATGAATAATGGCAGTATGTATGAGAAAAGAAATTTCACAAATCCCAGAATATAAAGGTACAAAATCTATGAATCCACCTTTTAAAACATGCCAGATTTTACTGTACCTCTTTGTTATACCTTGCCAGACTTCTACACCTGCATAAAATTGGAATAAAATGTAATAAATCTGGAAGGTAGGGCTTTGTTTTCCTCCTGGTTTCAGTGCTTTAATATTGGTCTGAATTTCAGAAGCCCAGCAAAATCTCAGCTCCCAGTATTTTATTACACTTACTAAAAAAATACAAGTGACTACACAGGAATTGTGGTGAAAATGCCCAGACTGATGTCAGATACCACTAACAGAAGTAACAAAAGCCCTTGGACTTTTATTAGTGAACAAAATTGTCCTTGGGTAAGACGTACCTTTTCACTAACATGATGTTTCCTCTGCATTGTCAAAGAAGAGCTTGTCTGATGTACTGCTAGTAACATAAAAGAGAAAGGAAGTTTCAAGTGAGATGAAAGGGACCACAAAAGATGGATTTTCTGTAGCTGCTTTGTATTGCTCAGGGGAAACAGTAATTAGACAGGGCTAGGAATTACTCCTTGGCTACTGACCCTGCTGGTCATTGCCCTTTAATGTCCTTGGCATATTGGGGGCTAGTGGGTATAATGGTAGAACATGGCTATTATTTGCCCTTTTGTGAGGAATGTGCTTCGTTACTTTGAAGTAGCCTTTCTGTGTGCACTTAGAATAAACCCTAGGTAGGTTCATTTTTTACCACATTTCACAGAGCCCTATTGCCATACATAGGGTTCATTATAAAATAGGTGGCTGCTCAGTGGCTGGTTGTCTTTCTGCACTTAGAGAGTGCTGTTCAAGGTCAGGATTGCAATTTCTGTTGTTCTTGACTGAGACCATGTGCACAAGTCCTTTCTGTAAATGCAGGAATGTCTTACTACTCTTTGGGGGTGAGAGGGATGAGGGGTTTGTCTTTACAAACAAGCGGTGGGCCTGCTGATAAGATGAAACTATCACTGAGAGATAACAGAAACAATGGGATGGATTCCATTGAAAGATGAAAGAGGCACTGAGGAAGCACCATGAATTCCACAAGAGTTAAGAATTAAGAAGGGATTATGCATTGTGGAGTGGGAAGGTACCCCAGGTATCAGGTGTTCAGGGAAGCCTGTACCTCTCAAGTACCTCAGCCTGTGGGGAAAGAGAGAAGGGACAAGCAGCTGGAATTAGGACAAAAAGGAGGCTGCACCCTCCAAAAATTTGAGAGACCCCAGGGGAATGCCCCGTGGCCTCTCCCTTTATTCAAATAGAGTAAAAAGACTCCTCTGTCTCCTTTTTGGGCATAAACCTCCTCTAGCATTTGTGAATTAATTTTCCTGACAGGGGGAAAGCCCAGTGGAAGCCCTGACAAAAACTGAGAAAATATAAAGCATTACATTTGTTCCCTATATGAGGAAAAATACCTGGCTTTAGGACACTGCAGTGTGTGCTTTGAGCAGGCCTAAAAGTCATTACAGATTTTTTTGTTAAGCATTTCTATCTTATGAAGACTGTTCTGTGTCTCAGCTATACAGCTGTACTGTGCTTTGCAGTCAGGGTCAATGTCCATATGGGATTTTTTTGTCTGGAGCTGCCTTATTTAAAGGCAAAACATCTCCTGAAAGCCTTCTGGATCCACTCACATCTGCTGTGGAGACAAAAGATTCATCTGGTTCAGTTATCTCCATCATTACTATTGAGTCATAAAGCTGTTGTGTGATTCACTTCTTCCTCTTACGCATGAAGTTTGATTTTATTAGCCTCTGCACCAGTTTAGCTTCCTCTCCTTAAACTATTATACTATCTTGCTAGGAGTAATAATCACTTCTTTTCTTTTTAATGTGTAAGGTGATATGAGGGGCATTTTTAAAGGGTGTCTATATTTCAAACATACATGAGTGTGAACAGACAGACCTTCTCCAAGAATACAGGTCTGCATTTCTATCTGGGTGACTGTAAATAAATTATTGAGGTACAATACCAATTTTTATTTAAAATTTTTACATAACACTGAAAATTTCTGGAGCCAATATTGCAGTGTTTGGATATGCAGTGTTGCTCTACTGCTCTCTACCCATTTAGCCTTTATTTTCTTCTGCTTTATACTGACATGATCTAACCACTGCTGTCTGAAGCACAAGTACAGTTGAGATTTACTGCTGGTTATCGCATAGGCTTCATACCTTAAATGCAGAAACTTGAGAGAGAATTAGCTCACAAAATCAGGCAGGCTTTCACAAAGTTTGCCAGGTTTTTAAGGCTACAATGCAGATGTACTTTTTCTGGACCAACCCCCTTAGTTTCTGAGAATATTGACATAAGTCAGGTTGGTTGTGTTCTGGTGTGAATGGGGTCCCTGTTAGTCATCACAAGTCAAATTTTCATATTATTTTCCACATAGGAACAAATTAACAGCATAATTAACTTTTGCACTTTGTCCTCTCATTTTTATAAAAGGTCACTTTGTAACACTTTCTGTAACCTCCATGGCCAATAATCAAAGAAGGTAAGATCAGTAAATATCCAGGCTCATCTAAGTAAGGGGAGCTGAATTAATATGCCAGTGCAAAAGGAACTCTTATTCTGTAATATGCTGTCTACATAAGGGGCTTGTCGCAAGGGTACATTTTTGAGAAAATTTTATCATTTTCCCTGTGTTAGCAATGACCAATGCACGCACTTCAGCATCATCTGTCTGAATCACAGATCTGCAGCCCACAGGTTTTTTTTCACACAGTGTCGGATTGTGACAAAATAGCAGGGAAATAAAAGAATGTTCCAGTTATCAATCAAGAAGGAACATCCAGTACCAGGAGCCTTGGTGGAGTAACAAGTGCCACTGTGATGCCTCAGAAAGACTCCTGGAAATCCAGGAAGCAAATCTGGAGGCTTATCACTAGTTATTTCTTATTTCTCTTAAACAGAGAAAATACATTTCCCACAATGGACCCAAAATGTCCTTGTGACAGAAGTTGTTGTACTTTTCTAGTCAGAATTAGCTCTCCTCTATGGAGAGAGCAATGCACGGAGTTTTGCTGGGTGAAGATGAACTCTGTGTTTCCTTTGCATGCGCTGGTGAAGCCCAGGGCCCAAGGCAGTGCAGCCCTGAATGCTGCCCAAGCTTGCATTCCTCCTGGAAAACTGCAGTGAGTTCTGGGGAATGATGCTACAGAGGAGGAGCCCTGGCCTGACTTTACTCCCTCAGCTCTTTTCAGAATTGCTTTATGCTCTGGGCACTGCTGGGAAAATCACAGTGTCCATCATTTCCAGCTCGGAAGTTGCTGCCGCACAAGCTCATGTCTGCACTTCTGTGCTTTTGGCCACCTGCATGGCAGGGGGAATCACAGATGGTTTGGGCTTGAAGGAGCCTTAAAGATCATCTAGTTCTAGCTCCCCTGATGTGGGCACAGGGCCTTATGGATCCCACCCAACCTGGCCTTGAACACTTCCAGGGATTGGGCATCCACAGCTTCTCTGGGCACCCTGTTCCAGTGCCTCACCACCCTCACAGTAAAGAATTTCTTCTAATCTAAACCTACATAGCAGTGTTTAATTTGGCCTGTAGAATTTACTGAAAAAGAATTATTTACATGTTTTCACTGACTTTTTCCTTGTTTGTTTCCAGCAATAAGGGAGACTTTATTTTCATTTTTTTAATTATTTGTCCAGCATTCCTGCCTAGTTCTTTGACTTTAGAGCCTGGAATCGAGATATAAATGCTGTGGGTTTTTTTCTTATTTTTATTTCTTCTCTTCATGAAATGAGGATAAGAAAAAGCAGAGCCCAAATGTGTCTCCTGCTGGCAGCAGGCATTTGAACTAGTTTAGCTTTGAAATTCCCCATATATTTATTACAAGTAAAAGGAATGAAATAGTTGAGTTCAGTCCCTTTGAAGTGCTCTGATAACTGGCAGCTTCGTAGCTGAAGTAAAAAAGCTGATTCTAGAGTTTGCTGAAAAGAGAAAGCTTGTTAAAGTGAACTTGATGAGGAACATCATGAATACCTGTCTAAATTATGTATTAGCTTTCTCATAGCTGAGTTTATTTTGATGATAAATTGATAGATTGAAAATAAAAAAAAAATCTTCGCTCTATCTGCCAACCAAAACTTGAGGGATACAGTGAGTGCTTTTGAAATGAAAATTCACTTGTTATAATTGGAAAATCATCCTCTCCTACAGAGCACAGTGGAAGTGATGAATCTATTACATCCCAGAGCCAGCATCACAGTGGACAGAGAGTTACTCATGACATCTTTGTAGTGCCAGTGTCATTTATAAAGAATGCCAGGGTATGTTTTGGTCCATGTTTTTTCCTAGCAGTGAAAGCAGAAACTGTTTGGCAAAAAAACCCTGTTTTGTGGTCTGCCACAGACTGGTAAGGGTGGCAGACCACCCTTATTCCCACACCCAATTTCCAATGCAAGGCTGGTTCACAGATTGGTAAGGGTGAAAAACAATTTTGTGTTTGGTTTTTTAGGAACCTCATCTTCAGTGCTGAGCTAATGATACTTGCTGCTGTAACACTAAGGGGTTCTGTAAATGCAAAGTCCTATTTAGTTTTCTTAGGGCAGGAGAAATGCAATCTGTTATAAAACTAATTTGGTTAATCGAGATGTATATATAGAAGGTTATTTGTTGCTTCTAAAACTCTGATGATTTTTAAAATATGCTTTGAACTTGAGAGGCGTTTTTAACACATTTACACAAAATGAGGAGTTTGTGCATATCACATTTCAGTGTTTCTTATTCAGTTAAAAGGGTTTGATTAAATAAACAAACTTGTTTTGCTTTACAAGTGATTTGTTATGATTTAAAGGATCATCACCACCTGTATTGGATAGAACCATCAATTTGTGCACAGTAACAACAATCTAGTGGGCAAAAATTGTTGTATACTGTGGTAAAGCAGGTGGGCTTACTTCCCAAAATGCTGGATGCAGTGCTACACTGTGCAACACTTCAGTGTAAGTGCAGCATATTGTGTGGAAAGATCACGGGGATGTGCCAGCAAAGAGCTGTAGGTGGAACTGAGCAGATGCTTTGCCCACTTTTTGTGGGAGACTGTGCCAAGTCCTGTAGCTGCTGGGGTGAGAGTGGGCTGTTGGGAACCTGGAGAGAGCACTGAGTCATCCAGAACTTTTGTGGTGGAAATAGCTGTCTTGGGCATGAGGTAATCTGTCTGGAGAATTTAATTTCCAATGCAAGGATACGTAAGATCCTAGTTTGAAGCCCAGCTCACAGGCTTTGTACTCAGTAGAATGGGGATCGCATCTTAATTTGTACATGTCAAGGCCAGCAGAAACAGCTGCTGCTTGTGAGCTTGCACTCCAAATTTAATGTGTATAATGTGTACAGGATTTATTATTAACTTTGATTTTAAGCAGTAGTGTTCAAGTAATTATGAAAATTTCCAGAAAGAGCTTGAAACTGGTTTTAAATCATATCTGTTAAAAGTACATATGGTTTTTTAAAGCAAGAGGTTGCCAAAAGATCTTTGATTTTCTTTTCATCTTGTTTTCTTCCAGTGTATTTTCCAGCAGTTAATGGCAAGAAAGGGAAATACTAGTTTTTTCAAAAATCTTTGGTGTTGACTGTTGTCCTGTTTCTGCTTTGATGTAAGCCACCAGGGAAACTTCCAGTAGTTTCTTGTTCAGCAAGGTTGGACTGATGCTACCATCTTAGTAAATGTTGTCCTAAATTTACATAAAGTCTATGCAGTGATTTAGAAACTAATACTGCATTGTGACTGTCTTCCAATGCCATTTTCTCCACAAACTGTGGAGATCAACATTTCCATTGAAATTCTTTTATGAGGCAGGTTCAAGATGTTTAGTTTACACGGTATTAGAAATCTTAATTTTCTAATTTGTTCACTTTTTTATTTGGCATCTTCATTTATTCTTTTACTCTCTGTTTTTCATATTTGAGGGAGAAACCCATTTTATAATCTTTGGTTTTCCATATAGTTGGTCTCCAGATAATAAAATAATTTGAAGTGTAAAAGAGTCTCCAATAACATTCAATGAATGAATTTCTTGCCAGCAAGGTTCTGAGATTTTTTTTCTGCCATTTATCTACATGAGAAGTTCGCCGGTTACCATATTAAAAGTGGCAAGCAACTGTAAGTAATCAGAAACACTAAATCTGTTATTTCAGGAATGTTGTTGACTTTTCCATCAGAAATACAGGAAAGCAGAAGGACCCAGTTTTTAAGGATATTTGAGGCTGGTTTGCAAACGAGTTCCTTACGCACTTAAACTTCCTGGGACTCAGTTGTTTTTCTCCCACATGGCTTTCAGTTCCACGAGTGAAATACTGTACATTTCAAGGCTAACTACTTGACATTAGAGCACAACTAGTGGCAGGACGTTGCCTTGACTCGTAGGATATATAATTAGCAGGTGGTAAATTTCTTGTTCCTTTGTTTTAGAAAATTGCTGTCTTTACTGCACAAATACAGCCTGACCTGAAAATGGCAGTGGTTAGTCACTGTTAATTGGATGACCTGTCTAGCATTAATGATGTACAAGCTGTTCCTAGGATGACCTTTGCTGACAGTAACTGCAGAAGAGAATGGTGACATTCACAATGTTTGCCAGGCACCAGAAAAGCACAGTGTTTTAAAATACTTCTTTCCTCAAT